GTATCTATGATATGAATGAGGATAACTTTGTAAATATGATCAGTTTGATGTAAGTATGTAAGTATGATCAGTTTGACACTTAAGACGCAGGTACCTAGAATAGGTATCTATGGTATAAATAAGGATATCTTGAAGATGATCACTAGGTGTCGAAACACGTGTCGAAGTGTTAAAATAACGGTTTTGTGTTGGAAAAAACTCCAGTAGGTAATATTCATTAGTACACCAAAGGTTCCAAACAGTGCATCCCAATTATAAAATTCTTGTTTTTTCAATTATTAATCACACTAACTTTTGAATTAATGAATAATTGGATGAATTAATAATTTAGTATTCACTGTGGTCAAAATATAAAGATATGTATGGAGTACTTTTTGAGGCATGAAAGCATTTGGTGAAGTTTTTTTTATGAAATATATCAGGTGCTTCAAAACAGTTGAGGTACCTATCTATATCACTTCAAGTAGTTTTATATAGAGTTAATTCATTAAAATTGACCGTGACTCTGGCATTTGATTTACTATTAATTACATCATTCACAAATCGAACATGAATACTCATCACTATAATTTGTCGTTTGTGAAAATTTACATTTTTAGAAAAAAAATTAAATGGCATTTTATGTCCAAAATTCGAAAAATTATTCAATAAAAATGGTTCAGAACTTCGTACCTGATAGTAGATATTCAATTAGGTACCTGATCACTAAATTTTCTGATCATTATACACTATAATTTCATAACGATTACACTTCAATTCCAGGGGTTTTCATTAAATAAAATGATAGAAAAAAATTAAATTCAAGTTATGATTCAACAGCTCTGAAGAGGAAAAATAAACTTTGAATTGAATTAAACTCATCAATTTATAACATTACACAATTTATATGATATAAGACCTTGTGGTGAAGTTTACCTATTATATAAAAATTACATTTTTTTCTCGACTTACTTGTGTCTCAAGATCAATTTATTTATTGTATTTTTGTTGCTATACAGATACATCTCGCAAGAATTTTTATTGTGGTATAAATTGATTTATATTCTTTTTTTTCAACTGGAAATGACGGCTTGTACTCAAAATTGCTTTTATAATTATTCTATTTCTCATTTTTCTATTATTGATGTACATATTTCTTAGTCTGTTCATTTCATTCAATGAGACAGTGTTGCTTGATCGGATTTGAATTAAGAGTGACATTATATTGTTTTTCTCGTTCGTTTCAGAAAACCGTTTCATTTGATATCCATATCATGTAGGTGCATAAAAACTTCTTTGATTGATGACTTCTTTATTTTGTGGAAATTCATGGTAACTGATGATACACTACAAAAACCACATGTTTGTCTATTTTCCACGATATTTCTTTTTTGTTGACTAGTTTCGGTCATTAAACCATTTTCAANAATTAAAATCATGTGGTTACCGAAATTCGATAAAATGCACTCAAAAACTGAAATCTAATGCAAAACGTAATGAAATGTAAACTACAATAAAGAACTATGGATGTTAACGAAGTAGATGTTCAAAATGTTCACCGCGAATGTCTTGGCAACATCCTAATCTCAAATAAAACTATCTTCTAACATTATTCAACATATCAGGCGTGACCGACTTAATCGCAAGCGTTATTTGTTCTTTGGTAATGTGGTGGTGCTCCATCCTGCTGAAATTATATCGTATTCACTGAAACTTGAGGGTTTCCTGGATCAGGATATAAATTTGCTAAACTTGGAATGACATCACTTTGAAGTAGTGCCAAATAATCATCGCCATTTAAAATACCCTCAACGAAAAAAGGGACCAATGATATGGTTTTCTACAATCCCTGCCCAAACATTCACCTTTTGAGGGTATTGCGTGTGTTCTTCTCTCATCCAGTGAGAATTTTTCGTTGACCAGTAGCGGCAATTTTGTCGATTATCATAACCGTTTAGAGACGAAAAACACTAATCAGAACACATAACGTCTTCTAACTGGATGATATTGTTATCCAACATGTCCATCATTTGCCCACAAAAATGAGTTCTTCTATCATAATCGTCTTCCATGAGCTCCTGAGTAGGTATCATTTTTTAGGGATGCATTTTATTTTCTTATAATATGTTTACTATCGATGTATGGCTAACATTGAATGTAGTGGATGCAAGTCTACTCGATGTATGTGGGTTTTCCTCAAACTCAAGCATCACATCTAATTTGAGTTCATCACTCATTGCATCGTCAGCTGCTTTTTTATCTATCCCACATGACCAAACTCGCGAAACTGCCTCTCTATTTTGCTTATTGTTCCTTGAGATATGGGCGGTAAATTAGGAAATTACTCATGAAATAAGCAAGCTACTTCCTGTTGTGTTCGAGTTTAATCTCGGTACGAATCATTTGTAAAACTGTTTTTTTTTTTCGTTATTATTCTGGCATCGACTGTAAAACTTACCATTAATCTTACCATTTGTCAGACTTGAACTTAACACTTGAATCAAAATACTGGCAACTGATACTGTAACATACAAAACAAGTTGACAAGGCGTTTTAAACTAACGTTGCCACGGAAATTTAAAAAAATACCATACCATTATCAATACCTCAACATGATGTTAAATGTTGCAATAAATGTTGCAAACGATATATCACACGCCTATATCTTCCGTTTAAAAATTGGGGGTTATACCTCTCATTCAACGGCGGTTAAAGGTAGGGATAGCATTTTTTTGTTGAAGTATGTCAAATTATGATTTAAATTTGACGTGTTTCAGGATTTTGTTAAAATATGTACCGTAACCGAAATAATGAATTTATTCCTTTTGGCTTTCACACACTGTATATTCAAGAAACACTTCATTGCGAGATTTTCACTGAACAGAAACGCAACACGTGTTTCGCTATACAATAGCTTCTTCAGGCGTGTCTGACAGTGAAGACACGTAAAGTCAGACAGTAAAGGCACGCTTGAAGAAGATATTATTGATATAGCAAAACGCATGTTCCGTTTTTGAAACTGTGTGGAACTGTGTGAAAATCTCACATCAAGTATCGGCCGATTCGGTACCAGCGAAGATAATTTTTTAAATTTGATAAAATCCTAATATGTCAGCTCGTATATCGAAGGACGTCAACATAACTTACGCGGTTTTTTGCGCTAACCTCACTTATTTGTTCCTGCGAAAATATATTAGTATTAACAACAGGATTAATTGACGATTGAAATAAATATAAATATTAACTATTGGTACCATATTGAACCAACTTCAGAACTACTACAGTTGATCTACGAGAATTTCTCAAACAAAAGCGTGTCCCCGCAACACCAGTGTATAGACAGACAGTGATTGTATGGACATAATGAAAGTTAGTACAACTTGATAAGCAACTTTCATATGTTCATATGTTAAACCGTCATGGATCTGTGTAAATGGCATTGACCCGTCACCAAAGTTCCCAAACGAAAACAATATGAACTATTCATGAAAGAAATATCAACATAATGTACATAATGTATACATACATAGTATACAGAATGAATAAAAAGATGTGGCTAAATGTAATACGAGTATTACGTTGCCCAAAATTAATCCGTCTGAAATACGTATATTCTGAATACAATAACTTAGATCTTTCATATCTTGATACTTTTCAAAAACTTCGTAGGAAAATTGTTCAAAATTATTGAGAAGTGTTTTTTGTTATTGAACTTTGCCCGTGCTGTTCTCATATTTCTTTCCATAGTTTATTATTGGAATTGTTTTTACTTTTTGAAACCCTCCTCGAAATGATTTCTAAATTATATTCTAATAATTGTGATGATGAGATGAAGCTCTAAAATTATGACTGTTCCAGCATTTTTCCTGATATATCTTGGCCACGTAGGCGTAGCAGCAGGGGCTCACAGACTATGGGCCCATCAATCTTACAAAGCGAATGGATTCCTCAGATTCATCCTCATCCTTTTTCAAACATTATCAGGAACGGTAAGTAACGAAAGTAATATTCTCTGGGACTACAATACCTCCTAAAATGACTTTTTGTATCAATTTTTCCTTCACTATTGAAAAATTACAGAATTTTAAGACACGGGAGTAGATAAGGTCTCGATGGGGACGTACGACGGGTGGGCAGAGGGTGCAAATGCTTCCACTAGGGAAATGAAAAAACAAATATTAGTTCATCTATCCATGATAATAATTATACAATTTTGACATTTGAAATTTAATCAAGACGCATTTCACTACATGGTAGCTTCATCAGTAGGACTGGTCCAGTCCAACTGATTAAGCTACCGTAGAGTAAAATTCATGTAATGAGTGCATCTGTCATTGACGGTCTGTTCCTATGAGGCACATGAATTGTTTATTAATTGGTAGAACTCTTCATATTTATACTCCATAACACGGAAAGCAAAAGTGTTAATTAATTGCAACAAATGTAAAATGAAGCAAATATCCCATTTGAGATCACTACTTCAAAATTCCCGTGTGAGAATCCAAAATTGAATTTAAAAAACTCAGTTGATAGGGAAATGCCTAATCACACCGAATATTTTTGCAGGGTTCGGTATATGATTGGGTCCGGAAACATAGACTACATCACAAACATTTCGGAACAGACTTGGATCCCTTTAACCCTTCCAAGGGATGGTTTTATGCCCACTTTCAGAGTGTAGCTTTGAATCTCAGCCCAGCGCAGGAAAAGGAACTCAAATCTATAGATATGGATGATCTCGAAGACGACAAAATGGTTATGTTCCAGAAAAAGTAGGTGTAACACTATCAGTTGAAATCTTTGCTAAAAATACTGTTGAAGGCATCAACAAAAAGTTTGTTTGCCAAGATCTGCAGGTCTACTATGGTAGACATTATCGAAGGCGAAAAGCCAATGAAAGAAGTATTTCCATTGTCTAATATGATTCGAAATGAATAGCTCCGGTGAAGCGGGGAGAGGGAAGAGGGGATAGGTGAGAGCGCTCGAATGACGTATTCATCTTTCGGCGGAATAGTTCAGTCATCACCCAAAGAGGATTGTTGATACTAACAATCGAAATGCCGTGAAGTAACTCGGTTTGAAATTTCTTTTAACTTTTTTGAATTTTTTTTTTCCATTTTTTATTTATCTTTTTACTCTCTGATCATTTTCATCTTTAATTTTAACTATTTTATTCGTTTCATTGTATAATAATGATAATAATAATAATAATAATAATAATAGTGATAAAACATTAAAACTTCGAAAGTGACGTAGTCA